CACCAAAAAGAGTAAAATGCTTAGGAAAACAGGTAACAAAAAAGTGCAAACCTTATCCTCTAGACTCTGCAAAACATTGCTGAAAAAACTGAAGAAGACATAGATAAATAGAAGGACATCTCATTATCACAGATTGTAAGACTATCATTAAGATGGTGACAGTACCCAGAAAAATCCACAGACTTAACACAATCCCAGTCAAAACCTCAGATGGCTTCCTTGCAAAAACTGACACAGTGATCCTAAAACTCATATGGAAATGCAGTAGACTCAGAAAAGCCAAAACAATCTGAGAAGACAAGAACAAAATTAGAGGACTCACACTTCCTGATTTCTAAACATGCTACCAAGCTACAGGAGTAAAGAGTGTGTGGTACCAGCATATGGACAGACACATGAATCAATGGAACAGAGCAGAGAACCCAGAAATAAAGCCATGTAGCTATGACTAACTGATTTTCAACAAAGCAGACAAAACCATACACTAGGGAAAGGACACCTGCTTCAATAAATGGTGCTGAGAAGGTTGGAGAGACACATGCAAAAGAAGGAAACAGGATCCCTCTCTCTAACCATATACAAAAATCAGCTGAAGATGGATTAAATACTTAAATGTAAGACCTGAAACCACAAAAACTCTATTAAAAAAGCGGTAGGCAAAACTCTTAGAGACCTCGGCCTAGGCGAAGAATTTATGACTGAGACTCCAGTGGCAAATACAGAAGCAACAAAAATAAACAAGTGGGACCCAATTAAAAAAGTTTCTGTGCAGCAAGGGAAATAATCAACAAAGTAAATAGACAACCTAGAGAATGGAGGAAAATATTTGCAAACCCTTCATATGACATATTTTTGCCAACCAGCGTGAGGAAGGAGACTGAACCAGAGTGGTTCTTTCCCTGAATGTCTTCCCAGGCTGTGGGGGCCCTACCACCTCGCGACCCATTCCCCACAACAAATGACTAATATCCAGACCTACAGAGAACTCAAACAAATCCGCAAGAAAAGACAAACAACCCCATTAAAAATTGGCCAAAAGACATGAACACTCTTTTCAAAAGATAGACAAATGGCCCACAAACATGAAAAATTGCTCAGCATCACTAATCATCAAGAAAATGCAGACTAAAACCACAGTGAACTACCGCCTTACTTCTGTCAGAATGAACATTAATAAATCACACACCCACCCCCTCCACACCCCCACACAGAGAAATGTTGGTGTGGATATGGTCACGGCTTTAGGAAGGTTGAGAACCACTGCTTTAAGACAAAGAAAGAGTACAAGTGTTGGTGAGGATGTGGAGAAATTGGAAATCTCATGCGCATTACTGGTGTAAATGTGAAATGGAGCAAAATGTCAAACATGGAGTTACCGTATGACTCAGTGATCCCACTCCTAAGTATACGCCGATAGAAAGGAAAATATATGTTCACTCAAACACTTGCACGTGAACGTTCAGAGTGGCATTATTCACAATAGCCAAAAAGTGGAAATAGCCCAGGCGTCCTTTAGGTGACGAGTGGACAAATTAATGTGGTACATCCATGGAGTGGGATATTATTCAGTCATAAAAAGAATATAGTTCTGATATATGCTCTGACATGGATGAACCTCAAAAACATTATGCTGAGTGAAAGAAGCCAGTCACAAAAGGCCACACATGGTATGACTCCATTTATATGAAATGTTCAGAACAGGCAAATCCATAGAGAGGGAAAGCAAAGTGATGGTTGCCAGGGTTTAGGGGAGGTGGGAGAATCGAGAGTGATCTCTAACAGTTAAGGAGTGAGTTTTTGAGGTGATAAAATCATTTTGGAATTAGATAGTTGTGATGGTTGCACAATCTTGTGAGTGTACTTAAAAGCACTGAATTATACATTTTAGAATGGTGAATGATATCTTCCGTTCCATTTTAGAATGGAAAATTATACATTTTAGAACGGTAAGTTATGTCTCAGTGAAAAGGAAACTTGCATTTTTAAATTTTCACCTGTTATTTTCTCAAACATCTTTCTTTATCAATGTGTGTTAAGCTCGTTTGTTCATTTAAACAAGGGAGAACTGTTACTGTTCTCTGAATTCTAGTGGGCACGATTGTTAGCAATAGGTGTGTTGGTTTTCACTAGGTCGGTCTTTCTTCACCATTACAATAGTGCTCCTATTAGTACATGTGACCCAGCCCCACCCTGCCCCCCAAAAAAGCAGCACAGGTGAAGTGATGGGATTGCATGGTCAGCGTGTTCATCCTGGGGTAGTAACGGAGGTCACCTGTTCTTCCCCCACCCCAGGTGCCTTGAGGACAACGAATGGAACTACAGCAAAGCTGGCGAGATCTTCACTGCGCTCCAGGTGAGGCCCGGGAATCAAGTGGCTAAAAGATGGATGTCTCTGAGCCATGAAGAAGGCCAAGAAGATGAAGGGTGGGTAGCCTGGGATGAAACTTGGGGTTCCTGGCTCTTCTGACATTCCAACTCTCTCCTTCCAGTCCCAGGGCAAGATCCCAGAGGAAGCCTTCCAGCGAACCCCCTGAAGGGAATCCTTGGATTCTGTCTTTGTCTCCATCAACATCGTTTTCATTTTTCGTTTCAACAGCCTAAGGCCACGCCCATGACTGAGGTTGGAGGCCCAACCCACCAAGCAGCCAAAGTTAGCTTGTAGGCCATGTCACCACAGCTACCCAAAGAGCCAGTTCTGTGTGTTTTCCCACTCCTGATCACTGTTTCTTTTCATAATAAAGAATCACATTGCATGATGTATGTTGTGTGTCCTGGATTGCTCTTCCCCTGCCCCGACCAAGAGCCCACAGAGCCGGGACTGAAAGTCCCTGATGCCCTTACCTTCATCCCCATTTGCTCCTGGATGGCCTTAGCAGACACATCAGGCTTGCCTTGATAAGCAGTTTGTCAATAAATCCCAGTGGGAAAGGACACACGCTACTTTCTGAGATTGGCAAGATTTTGTCAGGCACTTTAACTGGAAGCCTGCGGAAGGAGGCCTGATACCTGACACAACTGGAGCTTTGCAAGGGAGTCCCATTGGCTAGCAAGGGCTGTGGAAAGCAGGCAGGCAGGGAGGAAAGAAGCAGAGGGGACACACACGTTTTGTTTCCAAAGACCATACCTTGATCAGTCTTATGATTTTCACGCAGGTGAATGGGAAATGGGCCTTCTCACAGCTCTCACCATGCTTCCACATGCCTCCCATCCCACAGTCCCACCCCCTCCTCTTCCTGAAGGTGCACTGTGTGAGGAGTGTCACCTTAGCACCTGCAGGTTGAGGGATAACCAGCCTGTCTACCGGACGCATTCCTCAGAGAGCTGACACCAGGTGCCCCATGTCCATTTTCTTGAGGGGGTCTGGCCACTTATTTTCACCTCTAAACAAGTAATGATAGCACAGAAACTCACATCATGGTCACTTTGGGGGGACCTTTCTCAACAGCTGGCAATTGGCATTTCCAAACTGCAGGCAAGAGTTGAAGGGGACATTTGCACAACTTATTTTCCATGCTTCGGTAATGCTGGCACTTTAGTCAATAAGCAGGCATAACTTTTGAAATTCAAAGAATATCAATACAAAGTTTCCAACTTACAATCCTATAAATGATGACAGATGTGAGGTGGGTACCACCAGTTTACAGATTATGCTTCCACCCTTCGTGTTGGGCATAAGTTGTTTTCTGCCACTTGCCACTTTTCAGTTCTTCATGTGCACACACTTTACACAGCCATATGTTGCAGTGTGAATTTCTTAAAACGATGAGCTAAGGGGGCAGTTGCCATTACATGAAGAGTGATGCCAACCTTGTTCACCGGTGTAGTGCCTCCATGGTCAAATGCTCTTTGATACATTTTTATCCACTTTTGATCCATTTTCATTCCTGCAAAAGTGGCCTTTTGAATTTGGATAGTGATTGCATTGAATCTGTAGACTTGCTGGTACTTGCATCTCAACAATATTAAGCTTTATGACGAGCACACTAAGTCTTTCCATGTCTTTAGGTTTTCTTTAATTTATCTCAGCAAAGTTTTGTGGTTTTCAGTGCACAAGTGTTTTAGTCCATTAGGTTTTGCTACAAAGGAAAGGAATACATGAGGCTGAGTTATTTATAAAGAAAAAGGATTTGTTTCACTTATGGTTCTGAGGGACATATAAGAAGCATGATATCAAGCTACTTCCACTAATGATGGAAAAAGGAGAGGAAGCTGGAATGTGCAGAGATCACATCTCAAGAATGAAGTCAAGAGAGAGAACAGAGGAGATGCCAGGCTCTTTCCAACAACCTGTTCTCATGGGAACTAAGAGTGAAAACTCACTCACTTTTCTTCTGAGAATGGCGCTATACCATTCATGAGGCATCTTCTCTGATGATCTAAATACCTCCTACCAGGACGCGCCTCAACATTAGGGATTAAATTTTAACATGACTCTTGGAGGGGACAAACACATCATAGGCAAATCATAGCAATAATACTTTCACTTCTTGACTAAACTTATTCCTGGGTACAGTACTTACTTTTTTTTTCTTCTCAGTTTTTGGCCGGGGCTGAGTTTGAACCTGCCACCTTCGGCATATGGGGTCGGCACCCTACTCCTTTGAGCCACAGGCACCGCCCTTACTTAACTGTTTTTTTTAATGCTATTGTACATGAAATAGTTTTCTTAACTTTGTGTTTGGATTGTGTATTGCTAGTGTAAAGAAACACATTTTATTTTTCTCTGTGGATCTTGTTCTTCGTAACTTTACTTAATTTGCTTGATAACGCTTAGTAGTATTTTTCTTAGGCGGGTGGGTTTTTGGTGCAATATGGGGACCATGTCATCTGTCCATAGTGATAATTTTACTTCTTTGTTCCTAATTTGAAGGTGTTTTATTTCAATTTCTTGGTTAATTAATTTGGCTAGAATTTCCAATACAATGCCAAATAATGAAAGTGGACATCCTTGTCTTATTCTCAATCTTTAGTAAAATATCAAAAGAATGGAAAAGCAAATATCCAGTGTACTCAGTACTAATATGAAGCCAGTAAACAAACTAATAAATGCCCATAGAGGAGTAAAACTCAATTTAATTCAAATTTGGGAAGGGAGGAGCAAAGGAGATGGGAGCGGGCAGGGGGTGAGGGATTGTGTACTCTCACTGAATGGGCACAGTGTAAGGGTGTACAGCACACCTCTCGGGTGTGGGGCACACCTATACAAGGGACTCTACCTAACAAATTCAAACATTGTAACCTAGTTATTTGTACCCTCACGTTAACCTGATATAAATAAAAGAAGAATTAGCACCAACCTTTCTTAAACACTTACAAAAAGTTAAAGAGTGAACAATTTTTAACTTATTCAGTGAGGACAGCATTATCCTGAAGCCAAAGCCAAATAAGACACCACAGGAAAAGAAATAATGCAGAACCACATCCAAGAACAGAATCTCATTCATAACATATATGCAGAAATTCTCAGCAAAATACTAATGAACCAATTCCAAGAGCCTATTATGATGACCGCATAACACGACCAAGCACACTTTATCTTGAGAGTGAAAGGGTGGCTCTGCAAAAGAAAATGAATCAGTATAACATCACATTAACAGAAAAACATACCCACATGGTCATTTCTATTAATGCAGTAAAAACATTTGATAAAATACAACCCCCTTTCATGAAACAAACAAAAACGTTTAAAAACTAAGAAGAGAGGAGACTTTCTCAATGTGATAAAGACATCTATAAAAACCTACAGCAGTGGGGACAATGGGCAACCTTGCCTGGTTCCTGCTCTGAGTGGGAATGGTTTCAATTTAACTCCATTGATTACAATATTGGCTGTGGGTTTATTGTAGATGGCCTCTATCAACTTAAGAAATGTTCCCTCTATACCAATTTTCTTAAGTGTTCTGATCATGAAGGGATCCTGGATATTATCAATAGCTAAGACATTACTCAGGAATAAAAACAAAGCAGGAGGAATCACCCTACCAGACCTCAGACTATACTATAAAGCGATAGTACTTAAAACAGCATGGTATTAGCACAAAAACAGAGAGATAGATGTATGGAACAGAATAGTAAGCCAACAGATGAATCCAGCTATCTACCATTACCTGGTCTTTGATAAACCAATTAAAAACATTGAATGGGGAAAAGATTCCCTATTTAACAAATGGTGCTGGATGAACTGGCTGGGGACCTGTAGAAGACTGAAACTGGATCCACACCTTTCACCATTAACTAAGATAGATTCTCACTGGATTAAGGACTTAAACT